GGCAAAATCGATTTCTTATCGATCGACTCGATTGCTAGCAAGATAAAGGGAAGAAATTGGTTTCTTTAAGGCCAACACCATACCACAAGTGTAAGTGACGTTACCGATGAACGTAATGATAACATGGACAGCGGGGCTGCAGAGCCCATTTGAAACCCCCGTTCGTAGTCGTTGAAGTTTTTACAAAGAGCCTTTTTTTCATGTGTGGCTGTAAAGTGGTAAGTAGAAATTTATGGGAAAATCGTTATCGAATCAGATAGTCCCTGAACTTTCAGCCCATAAAACTGCAGGAACCGTTCATCGAATTCGCTGATTTAATGGAAGCTATAATGTACTAGTTGGTGGCTATACTGGAGGAATTCGACGACCAGTTATCCGGAGATGAAGAAAAGAGCCATCCCAGTTCGTACGCTAGGAATCCCATTTGTTCAGAGGAGCTAGACAGAACGCCCGTAAAACTTCTTCGCAGACGGAGTTTATAACGGAAGTGGGAAGAGATAAACGGAGAGTAAAATTAGGTTAGCTACAGCTAGTATAAGCTGCTGCTATGATGTAAGAATGGGAGACAGGAAAAGACTTTGGGCGTTGATCAACTCCGTCTGAGGGATGCGCACCCGCATTCGACTACCACCCAGAATCGTAGTGCTGTACTGAATTCGTATGTGGCCTATACATGATTTGCCTTGGCCAGCCGTTGTACAAATCAGTGCTTTTATCCTTCTAGACTAATCCGGTACCGATTATCCGACTCCGAAAGGGTGAAAAGTTTGGTCCACCTAGGCGGATATCGATCTCAGGTTCGAACCCGTGACCACGCGTGTGTGATGGATCGTCTTTTGCCAGCATACCACCTCCGTCCGTGAACATAGCATAAAACCGAAAAATAACGAACGCCTGAGTAGGGATCAACCCTTAGAATGAGCCGTGTCCGTCCGAACCTCCCCCTCCATCCAGCCAGCATCATGTTTAATCTGATCGTAAATCTGCACATGCAGGACTTGCGGAATGCAGTTCTCACCTACAGATCTGCTACCACTAAGTTACAATTAACAGGGTTGAAGTTTTGGGTAACCCAGTCAGGAATTGATTGGAATTTGATTGACATACGGGAGCCCGTCGTTTGCCTCTGTTCTATGTACCTTCGAACGGACAACCTTTCAGTAATAGATAATACTTTGTACCTGAGTTCGATGTTCACCTAGGGTAGGACTGGTTTATACTGTCGTTAGCAANAGGAATTCGATGGGCCTAGGGGAGCTCGCCACCTGGCGTTGTTCTATGTACCTTCGAACGGACAATCTTTCAGTAGTAGATAATACTTTGTACCTGAGTTCGATGTTCACCTAGGGTAGGACTGGTTTATACTGTCGTTAGCAACCGCGTATAACTGAAAGAAGAGATGACTATAGTATATGTTGAAATGGAAACTAGTCATCTACAGTGCGGCCCGCAATGGTGCTTCAACAAAAATGGTGGCAAATAAAGGGCTACAGGCGAAGGCTCCGGTTAAGGCTCCTACGATAATGACAATTGACATAGTCAGAAGCTCAAACCAAGGGCGGAGGGCGGAGGAGCACCAAAGAGCACAGCCAGTTCATCCCCACCGCCTCTTCCTACTTGTAGGGAATAGTTGAACGATGAGTAATCCCGAACAGAGAAGGACGAATCGACAGGCAGAGAGAGAGGATCTGTTGAGCACATATGTAGGTCGATGAGAGAATGAAGGAACAATAAAGATCTTTATGACATGAAAGAAGCGATCGGGGGAAAATACGACATCTGTTACAAATTTTTTTCGACACCATTAATCACGAGCTCCCCGACTTTACTACGAATCTCTACTTCTAATGATAGACGATTAACGATATGGACGTAATATGAGAATGCTCGGAAGAAGAGAAGGCGTTTCTGGAGCGAATCCATCCTTCAATATGGCAAAATATCAATTAACGTGAAACTTTCAGCATTACCTTCCATCGTAGTAGTAAGCAACTTCTTCCCGAGTGGACGCGAGGCCAACAGTTCGAGGAAGCTGACAAGACAGGCCCTCCAGTACGCGAGATTAGTCAAAATCCATCCTGAAATGGAATATTAATAATTTTACTCAGTATATAGTATCGAAAAAGAAGAAAAAGTATCGGAAGAGAAAAGTAACGGTGGAAACATATGGGCAGGAAGAGCAGCAGTTTCTGAGAGACCAAAAAAGACTAAAGCTCTCTTTCACTGTTGAATCGTGATATCGTGATATTCATGAAACTTTCCCTCAAAGATTGATGCAGCTTTGGTTGTACATGCATGCTAAGGTATATAGTGTGGACAAATCGTACAGAAGACGCATAGGCGTCACAAAATTCGTTACTGTGATTCTGGAGAAACGCCCAGTGTTCTACTTTTATGCTTAAGCCCTCGTGTGAGGTGCTTTCGTTGGGGGAGTCATTCAACCTCATGACATGACTAAGGCCCGGATGCATAGCATCCACGTCCCACTAGTCGAGTGTCCTGATTTCGCTGGGCTATTCACAACACTTACATTGGTCCATCGACTTAAATCCGTCTCAGTGCGGACTACAGCTCTTCCATGCTGCCTGATCTCTCGTGACTTGCATCCAATTTTGTCCTCAGTCACCTCAGTCAGTGACATACTTGGAAAACGAATCGGTCCACCGAGTTGGCTGTGTCCTACGGTCTTGTTTTCCTTCTCGGATACCACTCTAAAACTCGGAGACTCCATTCGTCATCCTTTCGGCGAAGTAGATGACCTGCCTAGGGGTGCTTCGAATGTGCCATATAATGAGAAAGAATCCCCAATCCCCCAGCGTATAAGCCTCGAATGTTTTTCCTAATTACTGCCACTTGCTCATTCTCCTCTGTTTTTCCCATGGTTAGACCGTTTAACCTCATTCTCCCTCGCCATTTTATCGCGCATTCAGCTGCGACACTCTTGTTGTTCCTAACACCTCGATTTGCTTTCTCCTCAGCACGTCTTCTTCTTTGCGCGATTCTTAGCTCCGCAGAAATCCAGGGGAATTCTGCGGATTCAACAAAAGCTAATTAATTTAGTGAGAAGTAGTAGGCGGCACTAGTAATAGCATTAAGGTGAAGCACATCCCATCATGTGAGTGGTGGTATTTAGGAACGCAGAATTCCAAAAATATATCGTGTACATCACTGAGTAGACTGCAAGGATGTAACAGCAATTTCCAAGCCCTCTTTTCCTTCGCTGCTACATAAAACAAGAAAATTCCTACAGTGCATACCTGTACAGACTGCCTCCTTACAAAACTATGTTGATCCAATTTCATAATCTGACAGCTCGCTATCCATTGCTGGACAAGAGAGGACACTGAAAAGAAGTTATTCAGACATTCTTTCACCTTTTGCCGAATCTGTTTTTGAGATCTCTTGTTTACCTTATAAGCAAGGTAATTTGAAACCTTCTTTCATTCAAGAGAATGTAGCTCAGCAGTAATGGGCTTTAAGGAGTTGCTATTCTGGCATGATCTAGAGGGACACCCATACATTGCATATATGGTGACTATTCTCGTCCTGCCTTATTAAATCATTTCGAAGCGAACAGAGACTCCCTGGTAACTCGTCAAACCCCTCGCCTGACCACAAGCGACCCAAGCAAAATGAAATATTAACAGAGCCTTAGCCAAACTTTCCTAAGTTGTGCCGGCAAAAAGCTTGAAATTCAGGAAAGCCAGACTAGTGGTTAGAATGAGAGCAAGTTGCCCAGTGACGAAGCAGCTAAGATTGGCAAGGCCACATAATGTCTCACATTTCAAACTTACCGTCAGAGTTTGTGTTTTTCGTTTTTGTTGTTTGTGTAACTCCAGGTGCTTTCTACATTTTGATGTACCTCACTGTACCTCTAAAAAGGCGAGGGCTAAGGAGAAAAACCTTTTTTGCCGAGAAAAAAGAAAATGTGGGTAGTTCCCTTCAAACTGTTTTGGATTTGCAAGTGTAGCAGAATGCCCAGCATAATCAGTAACACGAACATAAGTGAACTATTCACTTTGATGTAGCAACACCTCGACCTTTTCAACTGAAACATTTTATTCTCCATTTTTATGAATTCAGTGAACCAAAGCAAAGTAACAAGAAATTTAAATCGTATGTGTATACCTGTATAAAGGACACTAATTACGTTAAGTTGAAGTTGCCCGAGAAGGGGTAAAGGAAGACCGAAGGCTACTACTAAATAAAACAGTTATATGGAAAAAACACTAGTTTGTCTCAGTGCTTGGATAGCTTCTTCCCCCACTCACCTCTTCCCCCCACCCCCCCCCAACTCCAACGTTAACCAAT